GTCCGAGCCACATGAACACGGCGCAGTCCCACTGATCACTGACCGGCCGAGACACGGTGCCACTGATCGGCCGAGCCACGGCCCACTGATCACTGACCGGCCGAGCCACGGCCCACACTGATCACTGACCGGCCGCCACATGAACACGGCGCAGTCTCACTGATCACTGACTGGCCGCTCCACATGAACACGGCGCAGTCTCACTGATCACTGACTGGCCGAGACACATGAACACGGTGCAGTCCCACTGATCACTGACCGGCGGGTACACGGTCCCACTGACCAGTGACCGGCCGAGCCACATGAACACGGGCAGTCCCACTGATCAGTGACCGGCCGAGCCACGACCCCACTGATCAGTGACCGGCCGGGACACGGTCCCACTGATCGGTGACCGGCCGGGACACGGTCCCACTGATCGGTGACCGGCCGGGACACGGTCCCACTGATCGGTGACCGGCCGGGTCACGGTCCCACTGATCACTGACCGCCGAGCCACAGTTCCACTGACCAGTGACCGGCCGAGACACGGTCCCACTGATCGGCCGAGACACGGTCCCACTGATCACTGACCGGCCGAGACACGGTCCCACTGACCAGTGACCGGCCGAGCCGTAATTACCACTGTTTAGGAAAGAGCGGGGTCAAATGTAACACGGGACAATTCTGACAGTGTTTATAATTCATAAACTTACCAATAGAATGAGCTGATATTAAGACCGAAAATGAGTAATTCTATACTGCCTTTCCCAGCGGAGTTTGAACGCAAACGTACATATTTTTTGCGCAAAAAAAATAAACGGAAACGCATTTTTATTGCAAACGTATTTGTACCAGATGATAAAATACAAACAGTGTTCAATCAACACTGAGTCAGTCTCCCCTGCGACCAGGGGCGGGCAAACAGCACCGACTCCGAATGTGGCATAAGGAATGCATTTGCGTCGATGGTCGTTTTACACCTGCAATCTGTCACAATTGTACAAGGTGTTCCAAAAGTTTACCTAGAATAAATCTCCGACGCTGAAAGTCAGTTGGGCGCCACTTTTCCATCCTTTAATAACTGCCAAATCGCTACCAACTTAACAGCGGAAAGGAATTTCTAAAGGAACTTCACTATCGAAGGCTGGAACTTACCAGCAATCAATCATTTTAATGACCAATCCCGCTGCATTGGGAGGGGGGCTAATTTAAATCGCCGCCCCTGTCGAGTTTCGAATTAGCCCCTGCTGCCCCCCCCCCCCTGGATCCGCCAGTGGTTATATATCGCACCATATGCCAATATGCACATGTCCTAGAGCGGTGATAAAATCAAAATTGATTTCAAGATCAATAAGCTTGAGTTACGTACACCATGAATTCGAGTTCAAGAAATAGTTCAAGTCAAGTTCATCAAGTTCAAGAAATAAACAATGTGGTCAGAAGTTATTAACCTGACTTTGAAAGAAAATAAATGCTTATATTACCGATCAATGATTTAAATTCACTTAGATATCTTAAAGTATGAAACTAGCCGGTGTCATTAGAGTCATATTTCATTAAATTCATATAGAAATGCATTAGCTCTAACATAGCATAAATAGCATAGCAGCGTTAATCGTTTTCAAAATCAAATGGATTTCCTTTGTTATTTCGAGCATCCCCGCCGTGTACCATAAATATCATGAAATGTAAAGATGAAATATATCCACTCCATTTCTTTTATTGCGTTGCATATAAAACCAGAGGTAACCCATGAACGCATCGACATTCCACATGACTAGAATGGAGAACCTTTGTAAAAGCGCCGGACGATTGTGATACACACCCGCATATGTACAAAACAAAATCGCCTACTGCCACCTTAAATAGACTGCGAGAACACAACGTTACAAGCTATTACCTATATCACCCTTAAAATACACACAAATGACAAAACAATTACCGAATTCGTCATAAGTAAGCGCGACTACTCTATAAACTATGTATATAAATTAGTTTTCAGGGTAAGACAGCATGGTATTAGGACAGATACCTATTGAAGAAGTCATTTTGTGATTACATATTGAGTATTTTCAAAGAGAGCAGCATAATCACCTATATCCTCCAGTCTTCTAAGCACGCTACATTACTAAACTGCGGACTAGATGGCTTCTGCTGACCAGGCGCGCGCTGTCACGCTCGCGCTCTGTTCGGTGGGCGCCTCGCTTACCCGGAGAGATGGCGGACCACTCTTCCGGGCTCCTGCCTCGGCCGACTTTGGTTACTAGCTGATGGAGAGGTCGGACCGCGTGCCCATCGGGCCTAGGCGACAACTCGTACTAACGCACACACACGCACGCACCCCCACACACACTCCGGCACGCATACATCAGGATCGAACGCCACGTTACTGAACGCCGAGGGCATCACTGGACTAGTGCGCACATCTGTAGTCTACACATGTAGAGGTATATGTTCGCTCGCAGAACAGGTAACCATGTATGGAGAACTAAGGATTGTCGAGGCTATTGGAGGCGGCGCCTGAGCTTCTTGACTGCTGGGCGTAAGCTCGTGAAGGACCAACTGACGGGTATGTAACAGTCACGGGACCATCGGCCCCGCCCCAACACGACCCAAAAGCTCGCCGCGGTACACGAGGTAATGACAGCAAAAGGAAGATCACTATGTTGTACCGAGCTGCCTAGTGGGCCTTTTACACCGCACGGGGTCCTCTACTGAGATCCGCATAGTAGCATCTCCGTGACGGAGATCTCTGCGGCCCCGACTCGAAGCTGGAGCGGTCCTGCAGAGCTCCTAGTCTGGTCCCGCGGAGCCCCCAGCCCGGTCCTGCAGAGCTTCCAGTCTGGTCCTGCGGAGCCCTCAGCCCGGTCTGTGTGAAGCTTCCAGCCCGGTCTTGAGGAGCACTCAGCCCGGTCTGTGTGAAGCTTCCTGCCCGGTCCTGAGGAGCTTCCAGCCCGGTCCGGTGGGGCTCCCTGCCCGGCCCGGTGGCCGCTAGGTCTCGCGGCTGTCGATGTACGCCCAGCTGAGCACCTGGTCCAGATAGGAGTTGTTGTGGAAGCGGTGCCGACTCGGGTGCTCGGTGGGCTCGGAGGGCGGGCTCGGCGGCGGCGAGGGCTCCACCAGGCCGTCGGCGGGCTCGGAGCGCAGCACCAGGTCACAGCCGCGGAACACGCTCTCCACGAGCCGGCGCTGCCGCTCGGAGAGCAGCTGGCCCTCGTGAGCGCGCTCCGGAGGCGAGCGGAGCACCTTCTCCAGCTGGTCCTCCATGTCGACCTCCAGGCGCCGCAGCAGACTCAGGTACTCCAGGTACGCAGACCTGTCGGGAAACGGTCCCATGTCAGAGCCAGACGGCCGGGGAACGGTCCCATGTCAGACTCGGGACCTGTCGGGGAACGGGCACACGTCAGAACAGAACCACAATGGCCCTGTCAAAGAACGAGTGAATTGACGAAGGCAGGTACAGCACCCGAATGGCGGTAACTCGAAAGTCGAAACCCTCGAGGAAAGCGACTGACAGTAGTGCCAGACTAGGGCGGTAGGCTGCATTGAGGCGCTGACTGGGCCACAGCTCAATAAAGCAAATTAAGAAAGTGATTGTCGTTACAATAGCAAAAGAAGAGTCAACTGTTCGTCTCTCGCTTTCGTGCGTGTTCTGATCGGCGCGGCGGCCGGTCCAGGTCCGTGACGCTCTGTGGGTGCGGGCCGCGGCTCACCTGGCCTGCAGGTGCTCCGTGAGGCCGACCACGGTCGGGTCGTCCGGGGCGCGGCCCTCCTCCTCCACCAGGAAGCGGACCGCCTCGGCAGCGCAGTCCTGGTAGCCGGCCATCAGCGGGTCGTGAGCGGGCGCCGGTTCCGTCGGGGTGACCGCCGACGGAGGGCACACCTCCGGCGGCACCCGGGCCGACTCCGGCGGCACTCGGGCCGGCTCCGGCGGCACTCGGACCGGCTCCCGCACCACCAGACCGGGCATCTGCGGACGGACGGCGCGTCAGACGGCCGCTGCAGGGGACCGGTGCCGCGGGCGCACGGCCAAAACCAGCTCACTCCGCCCCCCCCCCACACACACACACGGCGGGCCGCCCGCTGTGATCCATCCCCCCCCCCCCACACACACATATACACACAGAGGGCAATCTCCTGTGCACGGTCCCTGACCTGCTGTGAAGGGTCGTTGACTGAGTCTACAAAGGGCGCCCAGTGAGGCCGCAGCTAACCGGCAGGCGCCGTTCTGCTACTCTCTTCCGGGCCCACCCAGTGCACCCTCCCAGCGCACCGGACCGGGTGCTTCCGGAGCACAGGGACACGCTGGCCCGGCCCGGCGCACTCACCTCCTTCTCTGGCCGGCGGCTGCGACCTCAGCTCTCACTGACACCCGGCGGGTCACTCCGCCACAGCCGGCGCCGCGGCACGTGCTGCGCTCCACCGCCGAGCGCTGTGCTGTGCGCCGGTGTTCGGGCCGACGCGTGCGGGCGGCGGCGGCGACCAGTGAACTGGGGCGGCGGCGGCGGCGGCGGCGGCGGCGGCGCGCGCGGCACACCAGCTGTTTCCTGTCGGCGGGAGCGGCGCCGGCGGCGCAGGGGAGGCGTCGACGACCTGCGGCGGGCAGATGCGCCGCCGTCAGCTGCCGGCCTCCGGCGCCGCAGCCCCGCAACGAGCACGGCCCGCCGGAGAGGGGAGCTGCATCAGGGGGGAGGGGAGAGAAAGAGAGAAAGAGAGAGAGAGAGAGAGAGAGAGAGGAGAGAGAGAGAGAGAGAGAGAGCACACTACAAACACTTACCTCATAAAGCATCTCGACTTCTTTCCATTCAGACTTCGAAAGCACGCTATTGCACATACCTACCATCACTAAAGGTGGCTTCATTGAAAGTGCCGTTAGCCGTTTTCACGACTGTTATTTGAAACACATTTGGTCACATTTGGTGTGATTTGGTCAAATAAGGTTCCCAGTTAATGCTGAGTATTTTTTCAGCTTAGGTTGCACTAATTTAGTTGCTTATGTACCTACCTGACTTCTCAAATAATCAGACATTACTTATAATTGAAGCATTGAAATACCTAAATTGATGATGCAAAAAATGTAAAAGATATTTTGCTAGATTTGGTCAAGTTTCGTACCTCCGCCAGATAGCCCGTCGTGAAAACGGCAATCGTCACATCTCGAGTGCATTTTATGTTCGATGGATCTGATACATCTGTTGGAGTTCTTGTCTTAACAGCCGTAATTGGTTTCTTGAAACCCGCCTGTTCCACGCGATGCCGCCGCTAGAAGTTCGAAGAAGTCGACAGCATCTGGAGACGGAGGTCACAGATTCCGCTCGTCGCCGTAGCAATAGAAGGGTGCATAGATGCATATGATGAATGTATGCTGCATAGGTATTACTTATTAGGTATGTAGTGAATAGTGATCGCAATATGTGTTCTGATGGTTACGTGCGGGATGTCTCGCCAACTGTTCGTTCAGAGGTTCAGGGAGTAGGAGGAAGCAGTGAGCGTCAAAGAAATTGCGATCGCTATGCTGCCTCTCCACACTCCGCTCAGCACTGATGACCCGCCTGCACTGAGCACCGTCCACCAGCCGTGACGTGACCCGACATCGCCTCCCATCCGCATCCCGCAGGCACAGACTGACCAGACCCGTCAAACCCTGGGCAGTCGACTAGCGGTCCGCTACTGCTGCTACTCACTACTCAGGGCAGTCGACTGCTGGCTACCAGGATCGGTAGGTAGCGGAGCCTTGGGTTGACTCAAGACGAAAGCCTGATTTCTAAACGCGAATAGGCGAAAATGAGCCGTCTTAACCCGGCAGTTGCTGGGGTATTTCGCCACCCACCGTTTGCTGGGGGGGGGGGGGGCGTTAAACGCCCCCAGCCGATAACTCGAGAACCAATAGGCGCAGCGAAACGCACGAGGCAGCAAACGAAAGAACGCGACGAGACGCTTCAGATGAGTACTTTGAAGTTGAATTTTGAGATCACAGGTCGGGTCAAGGTCAGGTCAAACACCCGAAATCGGGCTTTCAGTAGCATGGACTTTAGGACTTCGCAATGGGCGCCTCTCGTCATAAACTCTGTCAAAACGGTGCACAATCCATCATATAAGGCCTACAAGAGTGTCAGCTCCATGTAGGGGTCAGTCAAGCATAGGTCAGGGTCAAGGTCAGGTCAACCGGGTAGGCACATATCCACGAAAATCAAAACTGATATTCGCAGCCTGTGACACATGTTTCATGGGTAATTTGGGGCGTAAAACACGATAGTGACATTCTTTTTATCGTACGTGTACGTGTTTGGCTCAAAAAGTTCAATTTAAGAAATGCATGTATCATGGTCGTGAAGTAGCAACGAGAAATTGCCAAGATTCAGTTCAAGATTTTGGAAAATGCGGAACGATAATCAATAATCGAAGATAGCCATTTGATTGTTCATGGTATTGACAGTCTAATGACGTTTACGGCATGTCTGTATGTCTATTCTGTGATTTCATATGATTTTTGAACATATGCAGTTTTTGGTCGAAAACTCAGAAATCATGACGTCACTAAAACCTCGATATCTCAAAAATTTTCCGACCGATTTTTTTGAAACTTTGTCACAATAAACTTCAATCAATTGCCTACATGTATGAAAAATTCGATGCTATGGCCCGGCGAAAAAAGTGGGGGCGTTTAACGCCCCCCCCCCCCCCCCCCACCAGCAACTCGCGGGTTAATGTGACGTTTACGAATAAAAGACGCCTTTCGTTTTCATACTTGTGTGGCGTCAACTAGCAGTATAAGTCCAATCATGTACTCTGGTTATCGTTCATTACAGTGGCGCAGCCAGGGGGGGGGGGTCAGAGGGTCAGCTGACCCCCCGAAATTTCTGTCAGGGGCCCGCTCGAGAGAGAGAGAGAGAGAGAGAGAGAGAGAGAGAGAGAGAGAGAGAGAGAGAGAGAGAGAGAGAGAGAGAGAGAGAGAGAGAGAGAAGAGAGAGAGAGAGGGAGAGAGAGGAGAGAGGTCCTAATCTAATCGGACGAGCCCGCTTCGAGAAATGCCTACTGGGACACCACGGGTGAGGGGTCGGTCTGGGGCCCCAGGTGGACGGGGCCCGGGCCCCCGGTGGATGGGCCCGGGCCTCCCGTGGATGGGTCCGTGCCCCCGGGTGGATAGGACCCGGGCCCCCGGTGGATGGGGTCCGGGCCCCCGGTGGATGGGTCCGGGCCCCCGGGAGAACAGATCTGGGCCCCCGGGTGGATGGGGCCCGGGGCCCCCGGGAGAACGGGCCCGGGCCCCTGGGTGGATGGGGCCCGGGCCCCCGGGAGAACGGGTCCGGGCCCCCCGGGTGGATGGGGCCCGGGAGAACGGGCCCGGGACCCCGCCGGATGGGTCCGGGCCCCGGAAGAACGGGCCCCGAGCCCCCGGGAAAACGGGTCCGGGCCCCCCGGGTGGATGGGGCCCGTGGCACCCGGTGAATGAGTGGATGGGGCCTGGCCCCCGGGAGAACGGGCTCGGGCCCTTGGGAGAACAGGCCCGGGCCCCCTGGGTGGACGGGACCCGGGGCCCCCGGTGGATGGGTCCGGCCCCGGGCCCCGGGTGGACGGGGCCCGGAGCCCAGGTGTACGTGACCTGGGCCCCCGTGTGGATAGGGCTCGGGGCCCGTGTGGATAGGGCCCGGGCCCCCGGGTGAATGGGGCCCGCTAGGGTGCCCCGCCTGCTCCGCAACGCGAACAAGGGGTATTTTCGATGGTGAGCGTTTGGTTGGTCGTGTCCGTGGGTTATGTATTCATTTCGGTCGATTGCTTTTTGACAGCTAAGCATTTTGGTTTGGGAAAAATATCCATCGCATCGAGGTGCTCGTGTCTGATAACCATGCGTTCTTCTATAGAACATGCCAAGTGTATTATAACATAGGTTGACGTAGGTTATTGAAAAATGAAAGCCATTGATGAATTACTATGTAGAGGTTTGAAACATTTATACTTGTCAGAATATTGTTGTTCGTCATGCAAAAGCGATGATTGGATATTGGACAAAATTGAATGTTATTTCCAACTATGCCATTTTCAATAGTCAAACGTACCAGGTTGTGCAGCAATACCCGTGTAATTAAGTAAGTCATGAACAAATACCTACCATTTTCTCCAGCGATTTGTTCCACCTTGTTTTTGATCAATTAGCTTTTCACAATTTTTCCATGAGAGGCGGTACATTTCTCTTGCCAACAGGTGGTGTTTGAACCCGGCACCCGTTCCGTCTGACAGTCACCCGAAAATAGCATTAAGTCCAAAATACGTCCAAAACGTCAATTTTTCAAGCATAAGTGCCCCCATGGGCGCACGTGGCGCGTGCCATCCCTGCACCGCTCACCATTCGATAGCCCGTTCGATTCTCATATGTACACGATACTGTGTTTCCCATGCCGATCGGACCCACGGTTACCGAGATACTGCACGGAGACCGGACCCGTGTCGGGCAAATTTAGCCATTGTCGCTCAATTTTGCATGCCGATTGCCGATTTATACATGTAAAGTCTATGACGCGAATACGCACTTTTTGAGCACGCGCCATGTGCTCACCGCCAGCCCGATCGAGCTGAGACCCCTCACAGGCACGTTGCCCATCCTTGTTCTATAAGTTGCGCAAATTTCAGCGCACTAGGTGCAACGGTCTGGCCCAGGGCTGCGGAGTCGATGAATTTTAGGGTGACTCCGACTCCGATTCCAAATCCGGCTTCAAAAATCGTCTTCGACTCTGACTCCAACTCCGACTCCGGATGGTTCTAATAAAATCCATATCCTGATATTGAAGTTCATTCAGGTCGGGTCAGGTCAACCAGTAGGGGTCAACCAGTTACGTCGCGATCAGCCGCTTTTTACGCGAGTTATTCGTGAAAAAACCTTAGGGGGTTTTCACCAGTAGGGGTAGGGGTCCAGTAGGGGTCAACCAGTTACGTCGCGATCAGCCGCTTTTTACGCGAGTTATTCGTGAAAAAAACTTAGGGGTTGCATCAACCCCTCCCCCTCCCCCGTGCCGGCGAGGGTTAAAACTTCTTATGAGCGAATTCACGTAATGAAGAAGAATAAAGGCACAATCTACTACAGCAGCCTATAGATGATTTAGGACAGGTAAGTACATGGGACTACTTAAATCTTGTCCGACAGAAGCAGGCAACAGTTCCGATTGCCTATATGCTATATACATGTTGCGGAAGGGGCACATTTCGGCCTCGAAAGATACGAATTCATACGTCATAGAAGCATATTTCTGTCATGGTCAATTTGCGCAAAAATGGAACACCGGGTGATTACCGAGCTATGGTTCTATCCAAATTTTCTGATTCAAACTCGCCCAGGGTTATCGTGCAGTTAAAGGGGCCCGCTCAGCAGAATGCGTATGAAATATGGAGATTCTGAAAAATGGGTGGGGGGCCCGCACACTAGGGGGCCCGCTTTGAAGGCGATGACCCCCCCCCCGAAACGAAATCCTGGCTGCGCCACTGGTTCATTAGTTCTTA